GATAATGTGTACATTTTGCTTAAGGTGGTAGCATAACTGCTTTTAGATTCCTTTATGTTGTTGCATTTATCCATGTTTGTTTCTTTTTATTGATGAATAGCATTCCGCTATGTGGCACAATGATTTATCCATTCTCTCATTAACTTTCTCTGACTGCAATGCTGTCTAGTCTGACTCATAGTGACTCTACAGGAAAGACTAGCACCATCCCTTGGGTTTCTGAGACTACAACCATTTACTGGAGTTGAAAGTCTCATCTTTCTCTCGTGGAGTGGTGGTTTTGAACTGCTGACCTTGTGGTTTAGAGCCCAACTTGTAACCCACTCTGCAGCCACATCCCTAGGTGATGTAAATTATTTGTGTTTGACATCTAACTTCCAACCCATCAGTTAGTACTGTCAAAAACAGACCGGGTGATCTGCTTCCATTAAGATGAGAGCCAAGGTTCTCAGATAGACGTTTTTTCTGGTTTTATTGTGTTGTCATTATTGAGGGGTTTGGTATGATTTTATGCATATAAAATACAGGAGAGGTCCATCTATAGAGACAGTAATTAGATGAACAGTTCCTTAGGGTTACAGCAGAGGTGGTTGGGGAATAATGGGAAGTGGCTCATAATAGGTACAAGAGTGAAGAAAATGTTATAAAATTAATCGTGATGACTGCATGACTCTTCTTTAATATATTTAAGCCACTGAAGTGTATGATATAAGAATAACATGCCAATAGACTGTTAAAAAATGAAAAGATCAGAGCCAAGAAAACAGTGTGGATCGGCTCTACTTTGTCAGACATGGTTAGTCAAGATTGAGAATGAACTTGATGGCAATGGGCTCTGTGGTTTCTTTGATTTTGGTTTGGAATCTTCCCAGACTCTGGCTGTTAAGAATACATTTGCTATGAATATTGTTGTACAAATCTGTTTGTGTGCATGTTTTATTTTTTCTTGAGAAAATACCTAATATAGGAATTGTTGGACCGTGGGATGAATATGCTTAATTTCTTGTGTGAAACTGTCAGAATCTTTTATTTAAAAAAGTCATTTTATTGGGGGCTTGTACAACTCTCATCACAATGCATACGTACTTCCATTGTGTCAAGCACATTTGTATATGTGTTGCCATCCATCCTCATTCTCAAAACATTTTCTTTCTACTTGAGCCCTTGGTATCAGCTCCTCATTGTTCCCATCCCTCCCCCACCCTCCCTCTCTCTGAACCCTTGATAATTTATAATTATTTTTCCATGTCTTACACTGACCAATGTCTCTCTTCACCCACTTTTCTGTTGTCCGTCCCCCTGGGAGGGGTTATATGTAGATCATTGTGATTGATTCCCCCTCTCTCCCCCACCTTCCCCTTCCTCTGTGGTATCGCTACTCTCATTGTTGGTCTTGAGACCCTCTATCATATTACAATTGCATTAGAAAGTATGAACATTCTAGTTTCTCTATATTATAACTCACATTTAATTGGCTGTCTTTAACCCCAGCCATCCTGATAAATTTATGTAGGTATTTCATTGGGTTTTAATTTGAATGTCCCTAGGCACTAATGCTGTTTAAACATGTTTTCATAGGCTTATTGGCCATTACTGTATCTTTTATTGTGAAGAGTATATTCCAATATTTAGCCAAAATAGAGTTGTAAGCGTTCTCCATACATTTTGGATACCAGTTGTCAGTTATGTGTCTTGCAAATACATTCTTCTAGTCAGATACTTGCCATTTTAATTTTTAAGAAATTATTTCATCTATTTTTGTTGAAAATGTATACAGTAGAACATATACCAATTAAAAATATACACATACAAGTAAATGATATTGACTTAAGTTGTGCAACCATGATTAGCCTTTTATTTTCCAATTGTTCCTCACCCATTAACATAAACTTATTGTTCCCTAAACTTCTTATATAAACTTTCAAGTTGCTATGGTCAATTTGATTTCATATAAATAGTTCTTAAGAAAGGACCCAAGGCTCAAGACATAGTCTGTACTAATTCATCTAAACTATTATTTGGTTTTAAGAGGACTTCAGGGATATTTTAAAATCAAATCCTTAACATTTCCCCAGTTCTTGTTAAAGTAAGCCTTCTTGTGAAAACTTATCTCTCTTAGAAAAATGATGAGGGCTCCTGTATTCTTATATTGTTCCAGATCCCCTTGCTATGGCTGGAATTATGTCTCACAAGAATGCATATGATATGCCTGTCGTTCAAATTCCATTTGTGATTGGATTTTCTCTGATATATGACCGAGACAAGATTAGTAGAGAGTAAATCTCAAGTCAAAATCTTGAGATGCAAATGAGATAAAACAAGCAAACTAGAGCTGTAGAGATGGGGAAGAGAGATACTCAATCACATGAAGATTGTCCAGGATCAGAAACTCTGAAGGAGCCAACACAGGGAGAAAGACACCCCGAGATTTAGTGTCCTGAACTCAGATTTCAACACAGGGAGAAAATAAATTTCTATTTGTTAAAACCATTCACTTGTGGTAACGCTGTTATAACAATACTGGGCAGGTAAAACAGGTTTGGGTACTGAGAAGTGAGGGTGGTGCTCTAACAATTACCTACATTTTGAAGTGGGTTTGGAATTGGGTAATGGGTGACAGCTGGAAGAGTTTTAAGGTACTTTGCTGGTTTATTGGTTTCTCCTTGGGTGTGTGCGATCCTCATGGTTGGTAGTTAGAAACCACCGGCAGCTCTTTGAGAGAAAGACCGGGCTTTCTATGAGTCAGCATTAACTCCATGGTGGTGAGTTTGGTTTTTGGATTTTGGAGGTTGCTTAGTAAAAAACTTTCAGTAGAATTATCAACATCAAAGACAATGCTGATGATGGGTCATAAGGAAGTGAAGGGAGATTTTGAGAAAGTCTCTATTACCTTAGCGAATTTATATTATGCCAGCAACATAGATTAAATAGAATGTTAGTAGAAATGTGGATGTTAAATATACTTTTGGTGAGGATAGACAACAAAATGTTGAATATTGGACAAAAGAAAAAGGGTGAACATTTTTTCTATGCAGTCACAAAGAACTTGTCTGAATTGTTTTCCAGTGTTCGGTGAAAAGTCAAACTTGTATATTTAGCTGAGGAGATTTTAAAGCAAGGTCTTAAAGGGGTTGAGTGGTTTCTCCTGGTTGCTTATAGGAAATGTGACAGGAAAGAGCTGGAGTTAAAAATGAACTGTGGAAAATGAGAACAAAATGTAATGACTTGGGAAAGTCTATTCTACAAAGTAACGATGTTTGCTCTTTAGTGACTCAATTTTTGTGAAAGCAATTACGTTTATGACTGGTGCCTCTAACCAACTACCATCACAGAAAACCCATCAACTTCGATCGAAGGGGGAGGGACAGGATGAAAAAAGGGAACTCTGTCCATCTCTCAGAATTCTAAAGGCCGAAAAGAGACTCAAAGACCCTTGTCTATTGTCCTCCACGGAAAGACAAGGATCCTCTCTGGAGAAGCTCAGCGATCAGCTGCCCTGTTGGCAGGAGCTCAGGAAGCAGGGCTGCTGAGCTATCAAAGTGCGTAGTCATCACCTGGTAAATTTCAAAGTGTCAGACCTCCACCAGCTTAGTTCTGGCCCGTGGGGTTGCCAGAGGGGAGAATGCTGCTGACTGAAGGTGAGAAGATGCCGTTGGCATGCCCAAAGGGCAGAAGAACAGGGTTTGCAGGGGCTAAGAGGTGGGGTGCCTCTTCAGATGGAGTATGGCATTGGAGCTCCTTAGAGCTGTGTTGTCATTCCTGTGGCTGGAGCCCAGCTTCAAGGGGTCTCCAACAAGGCTCCAGAGAGAATGGCTAACATAAGGGTCTGAAAGGTAGGAGAGTTTTCCCAGATCGCCTCAGGAAACATTCTTGTCAAGCCTTGAGAGCGAATTTTCTTCTGGGATGGTGCTAATTAAAATGGAGCTACATTGGAAATGATTTCGCAGGCAATTTGCGTATCATGTATTGAAATAGTGTTACCAATTAAAAAACAAAACAAAATACAAACCATATTACTCTTTTAAAGGAGTGTTCCGTTAATGTTCCAATCTTATAACTTTAATGAGAAGAATATTTATGAATATCTTCAGTTTATGGTTTTAATGTATTGCATTCAAAAGATCTTGATGGCATTTTATCTAAAGTTTCAAAAATTTTTAATTAAAATTTCTAGGATACTGCTTTGCAAATGTGTCCTAGTTGATTTGGCCAGGGGTCCCGGAATGACAACATCTTTTCCTCTGGGAATGTAGATTAGCTATCCATTCCCTATTATGAAGAAAGAGCCTGCAGGGAAAGAAACTTACCTACAAAGAAAAGTCTAGTGGAAAGATAGGAAGACAGAGTCTAAGAGATGTAGCAGAGGAGATGAAGCATGAAGATTTTCTTTGCTAATATCCATTCTTCTTTTGTCTTTCAAGAAAAAAAAAATACAGATTTTGATTTCCCTGATAGTTAGTGGTGGTGATTTCATAGAATTTTGACTAATGAGCTATATATAATCATCACGAGGGATTTTCAGAACTCTATAGAAAAGAGCTGACTTTTCTGTGACAGGCTCTTTATGAAGGGTTGCTGTATGTTGAGTGTTATTTAGGCCCTGTGTTATCGTAAATGACTGGTTTGAAAGGTCTGCCAGAAAAGGTGCCTTTGGTTTTGAGAGAGGGTTGTGGCTGAGTGATGAGGTTTAATGCATACTAGTACACACCAGGCAGAATTGCATGTCCTCCAAAACAACGATTTCACCAAGAGGGAAGAGAAAAGAGACTTTACTGGGATCTTGGGCAAGGTACTGTGGGCCAGAGACGTTTCTGAAATGTCTTTATCTATCTGCTTATTTCCAGCGGGGCCCTTTATAGCGTTGCGTGTCTCCAGGGTATGATCACTGCTTCAGAGAGATTGTCTCTGTCACCAGCACTAGCTAGTTCTGATCTACTTCCAGTTTGTTCCCCACTAAAGATACTTTTCCAATTTTCTTATCACACAAGTATTACAAGGGACACATGGATGTTTTTCTTTATTTCAGCAACAGTCCTAAGGGGTAATGGTTAGGCGGTCATAGGAATGATGGGTCGGGGTTGGCATTTTTAAAAAATGGAGTCATCTTGGCTTTGTACGGCATCAGCTCCTTTTTTGGGTAGTTTTCCATTTTGGGGAAATGGGACGATGTTCTTGTCTGGCTACTTCCTGCTGATTGAGGGCGTAGATAAGGATTTATGGGGGTAGGGTGATCAGCCATCCAGGGTTCTGCCAACTAGCAGAAAGCATTTACTTCTTGTTGGATTCGACAACTTTTATCAGTCTGCAGAAAAGGATAGGGTAAGTTAGGCAATGAAAAAGCATTAGTTTACTTGGGCATTTGTGGTTACGCCTTCTGCCTTTATTTTGCTAGACCCTGCAGACAGTTGTATGGAAGAACTACTGCAGTCACTAAAGGCGTTAGCCAGGATCCCCAAATAGGTAAAACACTTTCTAGCCAGATTCACCCAAAATATTACCAAAGTGGGTGCTGAGTCCAAGTAGGTACCTGGGAGATAGATGTCAGTGCTAGTTCTTCTTCTGCTGAGGTGGTTATCTATGCACAGCATGCCTTATGATAGAAGTGCAAACACCATCTGCTTTTTCCAGAACAAGACACAACAAAAACAAGGGCAATACGATTGTCTAGTACTACTTCTAATAGTGAATTGAGCGAGGCTAGTTGAGTTCTCACAGCCTTTTCTTTGCTTGTAACTAGTAAATCGATGGGGTAAGATAAACTCTGAATGACAAATTTCATAGGGCAATACCTAAGAAAATATCTTCCAAATTTTGATTTTTTTCCCCGAGGATTAGATTGGTGCCTGTTCCAATAAAACTTAAGATTCAAAATTTGTATAGAATAAACTTTTTTTTTACTTGGGGTGGGGGACTTGAGCTTGCTTTCCTTTGTTATTTCTGGTGTACTTGAACGGGAAATATGAAATGTCCTTGTTTGCATTATCCTGTAAAATGAACATGATTAAACACTGAATGGTCTAGTGCATGGGACCAAACAACTGGGATAATTGTCCCTTCTACATAAAAATATACCACGGTGTTGTATAAAGGGATAAATTGGCATTGGAGCTGTTTGGGGTAGAAATATTAGCATGTCTTAACCAGAAAACATTAAAAAATCTATTGCATGGGCAAAGAGACTGGAAATCCTAGAACTTTCATTGTTTTAATTTAGCCTGGGGTGTATGCCAATGTATTTCCTAACCTCTTGCTGCATGCAGTGTAGTTATATATCCTGATAAATGAGGAACAGGAATTGAGAAAAGGTATCTAACTAGCTGGGCCAATTAGGCTCTCAAAGGGCTCATGGGTTAAGGAACCATTGGGTATTTGGTAATGGTAAGGGACTTAGGATGATTCTTGAGTGAGGGAGGTGGTAGCACACCCAGATCTTGCTAAGAGTCCTTCCTTTGGCCCTGGTCTAGGCCCTGGCCTCAAGCCTGCTGGCTAATTAATCTCAGACATCTGGGGTGTTTTCGGGTTGCTGCTGATTTACTACGACTACTTTGATTCCTTCTCCTCTTGTTACTTCTGAATCTGCTGGGATCCCTTTTGCATACTTAACACAATAATAAAGCCCCGAATCTGCCAGAGTGATATCTTTGATAAGGATGGAAAAATCACGGTTGTTTCTTTTGGTGGTATCTGCTATCGGGGAAATTCTAGAAGTGCTCCGAAATTTGAATTCATAGAAAGTACTCTGAAGGTGGTCAACCACTCGAACCCAGTGGATTGGCCCCACCGGGTAAAGAGTAGAAATCACACACGGCAGAGTGAGAGTCTCTCCCACCCTTAATGTAATTTTCCCTCCCATGTTCAAGATTCTTGGGGTTTCTTCTCTATTTTCAAGGAGACCCTCCTGAAAGAGAAGAAAAAGAAAATACATTTTGAACCAATTGATCATCTTGTTGGTGGAGCTGTACTTTAAGTCTTGGAGAAGTTTGCAGGACCAAGGTGCCAGAAGCTGGCTGTTGGACTGGTTCAAATGGACCTCCTTTTAATTGGGTGTAATGGACCCAAGCCTTCACTCCGGCTAACTTTAGGGAGGAAGGAGTAAGTCTTCTGGAGACGTTTGTAGGTTCCTTCCCACTGTTGCACCAGATGATCCTGCAGCTGTTGATTCTTCCAGACCTTCCAAAGGACCTGGCCTCGTGGCTGGAACCTAAGAAGTGGAGTTTCAGAAGGGAAAGGCAAAGAGAAACGTATTGGTTAGTACAACTTATTAGAGACTTGATCCAACTCTGTTTGTCCACCTCAATCATAACTAAAGAAAGTCCTAACCTCTTTAGGAATGGTCTCCCCACACCATTTTATAGGAGCTCAGTTTGCACTTGCTTCCAAGGGCCTCTCAGATCCTAAGTAGGGCAATAGGCAGAACCAGAAGCCAGCTGAGAAAGCTTAGCTAGTGTTTGTTTTATTGTTATAAATGATTTTCTCAGAATCCCCTTTGGATTGTGGTTTCCATGATAGTAACCTCTGGGTTATGTCAAAGGCTTTACTGAGCTCTTGAATAACCTGGACTACAAAGGTCCCTCTATTATTACTTTGAATGAACACAGGGAGCCCAAATCTTGACATAATTTCATTTAACAAGGCTTCTGAGGCTTGTTCAGTTCCAGCAGGGAAGGCTTTTATCTATCCAGAATAGTGTCTAGCAAAACCAGAAAATAATTGTAATTTCCTGTAACTCAGGGCATTATTATGAAATGTACTTGCCAAACTAATATTAAATTTATCCCTTGGTATTGTACTCCAATTTTCTACAGGGTGGCATGGAGTTTGGGGATTATTCTTGGCACACAAGAAACACCTCTGGTAACTTTTGGGATGGTTTGTGGCAGAGTTGGACTTGCACTCACACTTGCTGCAGACAAGTGAGTGTGGTATTTTCCCATAGGGCACAGGAGAAACGATGTCCAACACTTGTTCTTTTGGCACCAGTATTCTCTTGATGGGAGGATGATGGGATTTCTATGTCTTTAAGGAGTTGCAATTTTGGAAGCTCCCAGGAGCACTCCATGCTGTGAGTTAAAAAAAAATTGTTTTTATTATCTTGAGAGTTTATATGTCATTTGTTCTCTGGAGGCAAATGAAATTCCACTCTTCTACACTTTTTGAGTGCAAGGAGGGCTGTTCAGTCTTTGGTGAACTCTATTTGGGGGGAATCAGGACTAACAAGCTGGTGTGCAAAAGCAGATAAGCTGATGGCTCTTTTGGCTTCCATGACATCTGCCTTTTGATTTCTGGTTGCTTCTGGGAATTTTTTTTTTTTGGTGTCCACGGAAGTATCCTACCGCCACCTGCTGGAAGTCCCCGGTGACTCTGAGAATCTTGAGTATCTCGGGAACATTTATTTATTTATTTGTTGCCAGGAAAGGCATCCCTATGAGGGAAGGACAAAGCATCCGTCCTCACTGTCAGTGTATAGTTCGACCAGCTCCCCAGCTCCGACGTGAAGGGCCTTTCCTAGGGCCCTTAGGTTTGCTTTTTGAGCTGATGTTCTAGGAGACCAGGCAGCAGATTCCATCACTTCAGTGAGCACCCCCTCGCTGATCCTGCCCTTCTAGGTTGTCTTCCATGAAACTGCTGCCGCGGGTGATCATCATTCAATCTGACTCTGGCAGTGACTGGTCGTTGTCCTTGAATTTTAAGCAATCCCAGTAGGGGTCTTCTTCACCGGGCAGGCAGGTAGCAGGCATATGAAAGTGTCCACCTGGTACCTTACATTAGGATGATCCCACACATTCGGATGATCCCATACAATGATTTGGTACATTTTTACTTGGCTGCCTGTGAGCAAAATTTTTCTTTCGGCTTGAGGAAGAGCAGCACTGGATGGTGAAGGGATGTCTTGGCCGAGGGTGAGATTTCCTGGAGCAGCCACAAGCAGTGGCCAAGTTGTTTGGAGAAAGAGTCTACCGGTCTTAAATGGCTGTAGCATCTGGGTCAGGAATCCTAGGGCCCTGTATGACCTCTCCTGGACAAACAAATCGAAAGGCTTCTGCAAATTTAGTAGTCCATCTGGTGATCATTAGCTTGTGCTTTATTTTCTTGAAGGCCTGTAGATATTCTGGGGTACATGTTAAGGGATTCTTCATCTCATTTTAAGGCCTCCTCTAATGGATTTGTGATGATGCCAAAGTTAGCACCCAAATTTGGCAAAAGTTGACCAGTCCTAAAAAGCCCTGCGATTGTGTCAGGGACCAGGCTGCAATATTCTACTTTGGCTTCTCTTCTATTTGGGGGAAGATTTCTTTGCTGCTGAAAAATTTGAAACCCCATGTATTTTACAGATGTTTTTGGTACTTGTATTTTTTCTTTGACCACCTTAAACTTGCACTAGGCGGGAGAGCTCAGGCCAACAATAGTGTTTTTATTGGAGTCTTATCTTATTGGCTGGCCATCAACAAATCATCTACATTATCATAATATAGTCTCATTTTCTACAACTGATTTCTGCAAATTTAGTGCCAAAATTTCCATCCAAATTGTTGGTGAGCTTTTAAATATCTGCAGTCTAAATGGGCCTTGGCCTCTGTCCTTGGGCCTGACTATTCAAACGCAAAAAGCCAGACTCTGGTTCCAATGGAGTTATAAAATATAATTAAATTCTATTATTGCAATGCATGTTTCTCATTAGGAAGATTGACCAAGAGACAAGTGTATTCTTGACATAATTTGTCTACAGCTATTCACCAATCATAAAAATACATTTGAACTTGTTTGGCTAGCGTAAACTTATGCATGTGTGAACTAGAACTCTAACAGCAAATTTTTAAATTTACTCTCATATTTTTTTGAATGAGTGCATGATCAAATGGACAAATGAAAGAAAAATAGATTTCAAATGAAGATGTCAATGAGACATATGGCTATAGAATCTGGAGTTCAAGGGAGATAAGTTAGTACTAGAGATATAAATATGTGTTCTCTGTAGAAAAAATAGAAAACATGAGGATGATAATGACAATAACAATAAGTTTGCAGTATTTTGCGTATAATCTTTCTGTACCAGGAAAATAAAATTGTGCTGTATATAATATCATACCCTGCTGTTTTCAATTAATATTTTGTGATTTTCTTTCACTGTCATTACATAACCAATTACATTATTTGAAATGGTGGCGTAATATGGTCTCACATATGTATAGCATGTTTTATCATTCAATATTTTGTTTGTTGAGGCTTTTTTAATGGATTGTCTACTACCTGGTTTTTTAATTATTTCTTTAGGATATTTTTTCTAGGCCTGAAATACAAAATCAAATAAAACTGCACATATTAAGGGCTTGTGGAGAATTGTCAAGTTACCAGCCAGACAGATAAACTTCCATTATAAAATTATAGAACGCTTACCCCCCGACCCTCACACCAAATATTAAGAGTTTCCTTGGCTTTGAGAACTTCTACATAATGCTACTTCCTGTGAGGACACTTTGAGGAAGACATATTTTTAAAATTAAGAGTATTAAAAATATTTTCATCATTAAGAAGTATAATAAAGAAGAAATGTTCTAAAATTGACTGTGGTAATGATTATGCAGCACTTCTGAATATGATCTAACTATTGAATTGTATGACATTTGGAATATGTCCAAATAAAACTGTTTAGAAAAACAGTTTCGTCATCTGCCCCTCTGTAACATGCTAATGGATATACATAAATAGGGACCCATTTTCTTGGAAAGATGAATTGGACGTGTTGGAAATATCTGATTCTAAAATTTTTTTAAAGCCAAAGAGACCCTATGCTAGGTTAGTACATTCAATGCTTTACTATTAATTTTAACAGCTATTAATTTATATTTAAAAAGTCTCTCCTGAATGCTTTGAAATCTGTGGATAATATTTAATGAAGAGAGATAACTAAAAAAACCAGGAAGATATTGAAGCAACTCTCGAGTGGAAAGATTTTTAAAATATGAGTTTTTGTGCTTTCCTTGGAAATATTTGCAAATTTTCACTCATGTGTCCTGTCTTTTTTTTATTACAGCTCATATGTAGTGCTTGAATAAGATTATTTTCTCCGGGGCTAATAATAAAACTAAGTGCATGTCTTTGTAAGGCTTTTATTTTCTTTTTCATAGTATGAATTCCCTCTTCTTGTTGATAAAAATGCCCACCTGTGTTTCTGAAGAGCAACACTCTCATTCTCAAGCAGGTCAGTGCTGTAAGTGATAATCCCACAAGTGGAGTTGATGCAGAAGGTCATAAACGCCTCTTGTCTCATAAATAGTGAGACATGAAACCTCAATGTTTATTATAGCAGGAGACACGTATTGCTTAGTGCCATATGAAACAAGATCATCTGATCAAAAATGTGAAGATTTTTAAATTTTACTCTTTTAAGCTATTTTGTTTTATAGCAAGATTTGAAGAACTATAGATGAAGAAAGTAGGACCAGTAAGTTGTTGTATGGAGAACTGAGTGGGACGCATCTTTTCTCAGGCTCTCAGAGCTGGGGTTCAGAACAACTCTGAGGGTGAAAGTATCACCTAACTCCAATGTTATGGCTATGAGAGTTCTCTCATTCCTAGGATAAGTCAGACAAAAGAAGGATGGATTGACAAATAGAGGGACAATTTAAATAATCCCTAACATTCTATCACCAAATCTTTTTCATTTTAATATATCTCTTTATGCTTAAATTTAACAAGTGGAGAGATGTTTATTTAACTTTTGTCAGATACAAAGGGCATTTATATTTTACACAACTAAAAGGCTTTTAGGTTTAGAGAAGAATGAAACAGAAAATACAATTGTTCTCATATTTTCCCCAATCCAGTTTTCCTTGCTTTATTATGATATATTTGTTAAAATTGATGTACCAATATTGAGGCACAGTTATGAATTCAAGTTCATAGTTTATCTAAAGGGCTTATTATTTGTGTTACATAATTCAATAAGTTATGATTTAAAGGCATAAGGACAGTACCATGAAAATTTATTTCACCACTCTAGCAGTGCCCTCTGAATGCCTAATCTGCCCCTCTCTTCAAATGCTTGTCAATCAGTGCTCTTTTTACTGTCTCTGTAATATTTCCTTTCCCCAAATATCATATACTTGGAATCACAATGTTTAGTCTTTTCAGACTGGATTTTTCACTTAGCAATATACATTCAGGATTCCTTCATGTCCTTCATTGTCTGGATAGCTAATT